CTTATCGTTTTTGAAGATAACAACAAGCGACGGATATGGATCCCTATACTCAAATGTTTTCTACTGTTGCACTGAATAACCTCTACAAGTTTGATCCAATAGTTCTGAAACACCCTGTATAGTATAGCTCTGAAATTGTGTGTGAATATTCCTTTTTTATGAAAGAATGAAACAGTGATTACTTTGTTATTATCACTTTTCCTTTCCGAAAAATCGTGAAGACTCGTCTCGCAGCAAGTTGAGTTTTCAAGAAAAGCAAAGATTTTTCGAAGAAAAAAAGTGATAAGAATAAAGTAACCACTTGTTTGATTCATCCATAAAAGTGGAATATTCACATACAATTTCAGAGCTGTACTAATATCTGTTAACAAGTTACGATCGAAGAAAAATCCACAATAAAATGCACAAAAAATGCATTTTATGACAAAACAAAATTAAAAACGATTTTTTTAGTCATCTCTATACAAATCTTGGAGTGATCAGATGAAAAGGATTTAGAATACTGTTGCGAACAGCTAGTTGGACAAAAAGCGAAAAAAAAGGGCACGTGTGACCTTAAGGGTCGACCCTCAAATATCTCATTATCCACATTTGCGTATAAATAACCGTCATTGCGCCCATGGTGGTGAGAAGTGTGCAGGTGGTGGGCAGCAGGGTGTCGGTATGTCCGGGTAGCAGACATTTGGATGGCAGAGATTTGTACTCTGGACCTCGGAAAGTGTTACAAAAGCACCGAGAAATCCAAGATTCCAAGAAGAAGAAGTGTGAGCATTTGGTAAGGTGTGCGATAAAGAAGACATCATGGATTAGTTTACGCTAGTTTGTTATCTGGTGGGTGTCTAATACGAGTAAGTCTCTGTGTAAAATTTAATTAAAATCAGAGAATTAAACATTGAACTATGAGGTACTGTGCAGCGGAGGGTTGTTCAAGTATCGACAGCAAGAAAACAGAAGCATTTCGAATTGGCGCTTCTTCAGTTTTCCAAGGAACAAACAAGTTTGGAAACAATGGGTTCTGCAGTGTTATCACCAACACGAATTTAATAAGTTCTTATTAAATGTAATGGACCGACCTTAGATTCGACAACTATCGGGTGCGCCATCTTTTATGTCGGTATTGAAACATCGAATGACTTTGATATTTACCAACCGAGTGATTTGGTTATACGTCAATTTCTACAATTTTAGTCATGAATCGCTTTACACCGAAACAACGCGCCGAAATAGTCACAATGTACATTGAAAATCGTCGTTCAGTTGTGTTAACGCAACGTGCATATCGTCGAAAATATCGTGGCAAACAGGCAGCGTCTGACAACACCATCCGTCGTTTGGTTTTGAATTTTCTTGAGTACGGGACAGTGGGAGATCGTCAAAAGTGTCGTATCGTCACCGAGCTCAGCATTTTGGCATCAGTGGAACCACGTTGCGGCGCATTTTGAAGGATGATTTCCATTTTTTTCCTTATAAGGTGCAGTTAACACAAAAAATATTGCCAACTGACCATCCACGTCGCTTGGAATACGCCCAAACAGGCGCTCGCATGGTTGAAGCTGAACCTGGATTTTAAAAGCAAATTGTGATGACCGACGAGCCCCATTTCACGCTCTCTGGCGGCGTTAATAAGCAAAACTGCCGCATTCGGGGGACGGTAATCCACATGAGATCCCCGAAATGCTGTTGCATGACCGGAAAGTGACTGTTTGGGCCGGCGTTTGCGCCAAAACCATCATTGGCCCATTTTTCTTCAACGCCTTCTGAAACGAAAATTCTCTGGACGTCTGATGTCAAAAAGAGGTGACACTGACTGGCCACCCAGGTCTCCAGATTTGACCCTACCGGACTTCTTTTTGTGGGGTTATTTGAAAATTCAAGTGTACGCCAGCAGGCCCCAGACCACTGAAGAACTAAAGACAAACATTCGTACCGCAATCGCCGCTATACCACCAGAGATGCTCGAAAACTTAATGGAAAACTCAGCAAAACGGGCACATTTCGTTTTGGCCAATACAGGTGGCCACTTGATAGTTGTTGTGTTCAAAAACTAGTCCAATAAATTGTAAAGGACCATATTTAATAAAAATACCCGATACATAGAAATCAGTTTTTTCGTATTCAAAGTTCTTTCATGTTTACATACCGACATAAAAGATGGCGCACCCTGTACCACACAGGGTCATTAAATTGACTAAAAGTTATTCATAATTGGCTAAAAACTATTCAAAATTGTTGATGGGTCGGCCATGCCAGTTAGTGTAAGGACAGATGATAAGCATCTTTATTTTAGATGCAAAATGTATTTTAAAATCCGGTTGTTGAATGGAGATATGAAAGATAAATCCAGAATTGGAAAAAAAAAATCAAAATACGAAATACTTTTACTAACATCTAGCCAATAAAAATGGTTTCTCCAGTAAATGAACAGCTGTACATTCATGTTATCACTTGTTGATGGCAAGATAAATCTATAGGTAAAAAATTCTTGAATTCTAATAAACATACGTAGGTCTTTACCTTTTTATGTCACTCAGTATAAATCAAACTGTACAAGTAATGTATTTACTCTAGAAATTGACACGTGTTGAGCGACCCTATGCAACGGCACTGACGTAGACAATCGTGTCGGCAAGTTTGCCCCTTTGGGAGGTCAGCCTCAGGTGTGTATGTGTCGCGTTACTACCCCCTTAATGTGTCCTCGGTGTCACTATCAGATTCACTAATTTCCACCGACTTATTAAGCCGCCCTTTCCAAACGGCTATTGAGAACGAATTACAACCTTAATGGTTCTGAACTACTCAGTGATAGCAGAAGCGTTGCACTCAGAAAAAATAATTCCTTCAGCTTGTCTGTTTACCTTTGTTAAAATGTTATCTCATTGGTTTTATGAAGCAAGCAGCTCCTGAGGGCTGAGTAGTAGAGATATGTTTCGTTATTGTCCTTTCATTTACTAGCGTTAAGCATAACAAAATGCCTTGAGTTCGATGACGTTTTATATTATCACCATGTTAACGACTTTGACAGGGGTAGAATTATTGCCTAACGAGATTATTCACCAAGACAATTTCAGACCGCATGTTGCCAGAGCATCGTTAGCCTTCATGGAATCAACATCGCTACAACCGTTTAACACTTGGCCATCTCGATTGCCTGACCTATCCCCAATTGAACATGTCTGGGATATGATGATCACAGGCTCTTCAATTTGCAACGCCCTCCCCATACTTTAGCAGCTCTTACTCACGAAGTTGCAGTATCCTGGAATGAGATACCCCAACAGATAGCGACCACCTTAACAGCACGAAGCCCAGGCGTGTCAATTACCGTATGAGAAATCGTGGATCCTCAACACATTATTGAACCAACTTCTGCAGTCAGTTGACGAATCCAGCTGAAAATTTAAATGTTTTACTAGTAAGGGACACTGAACATATATGCCAAACATTCTTAAAGTCGGATAAAGATACGTAGGTGTTGACATTTTTTTGTCAATCACTATATTAATAACAACGATACTAAAACGTCAAGTAGTAAAGTATTGATCAAGGGAGTAGTAGTGTTGGCGTTGGATTTTGTGAAACAGGTTGAAAAAAAAAACATGTAGTTTTCAATTTCATACAAAAAACAAAGGTTTTTTTGCCTTAAACGTTTTTTTAAACGTTTTTTTTGTTTTTAAATTTTATGTTTTAAACAAATAAAACTTAGAAAAAACATTGTTTAAAATCATATTTTTTCATGATATTAATTGAAATGTTCGACCTACTATTCTAACTAAATAATAGATACCTTATTTAAGTCCGACTCTGTACTATGCTGTCGCGATCAGCTGTTACGAACTACGTCGCGCCACGCCGCCGTTAGGCTGTACCCGTAAGTCCCCGAAATAACAAAAACCAATTGCAATCAGGAACCATTGGCCTGGGAGAACCACAGACTACTATTTATAAATGCGCCTTGCAAGTTGGCTATTGCAGTAACGTCTACTGTAAGTTATGTTGTGGTGTTCTTTTTTTGAAAAATGTCGTCTACAGGAAGGAAGAAAGATGCCATTTGGTCCTGTTTTGATGTTGTTAAAGATAATAACAAAAAATCAGTGACTGTTAAATGTAAAAAAATGTAAAGTAATTATGGCTGGACTAGTGCTGCGTATGAAGAAACATATTCAAAAATTTGTTCCATCTGAAAATTATCAGCTACCAATGTCAATTATCTATGATTCCGGGTCAGGTGAGTATTTAACGCTAGATGAGGTATCCAAAAATATTCAAAGAATGTTTACCCAGATAATAAAACATGTAACGTTGAATTTTAAATTTTTATCAATTTAAAGACAAATGCCCAAGACTATTTAAAAGAACTAAAGTATGTCGCATTTGATTTGGACAAGGTCCAAAGAATCGCCTGCACTATAGGAGAACGCCACAGAGATATGGCTAGAATTTTAGAAGCATTTGAGACTGAAGCAAATGGAGAATTTTTCGGTAAGTGATACGAATCAAGTAGAGGAGCGTATGAAAATGTCTTTGACCCCAGCTATTTTTTTGGCAAATTTGCTTGATCACCGCTTTAGAGGCAATAAACTTAGTCAAGAGCAAATAGAAGCTGGCATGGAATATGTAGAAACCTACCATCCAGAAGCATTGCCAATTATTATTAGTTACCAGGCAAAATTTAAAGTTTAAACCATATATGTTTTCTAAACATCTAATTGAGAATGTAAAACCATTAGCATGGTGGCGTTCTATGAAGATTATGAATACGAGGGATGTCTTTTAAGTTTTGCATATAGAAACATAGTATGGCCGCGCGGATCGAACGTCAGTACTGAATCTTAACCCCGCTCTTTAGTAAACTTACATTCAAAGTTTCACAACAATACGTGCAGTGTTCTCACTACAGTGAATTTTTAAGTGTCACCAAGTCATTAGAAAAATGGAACTCAACCGGAACATTTTCGCGCCATAATTTATTACAACCTTCAGAGACAATTATCGCAACAAGAATGCCTTGCTGTGTTACTGTGGTTTTCGGCAACGAAGCGCCACATCAGTCGAACAATTTCCCGTTGTTATGGAGAACTCCAACGTGGACGGGTGAGTCTTAGCGACGATCCCAGGGTGGGTGCGCCAAAAACGGCAGTCACCCAGGAAAACGTCGATGCTGTGCGCAAACTCGTCATTGAACATAGGCATGTGACATATCGGCGAGATTGAGGCGTCCTGAAGATCTCAAAGACCTCAATTGAAAAAAATTTTTACATGAACAATTAGGAGTAAGAAAAATTTAGTTTCTCGTTGGATACCCCACCTGTTGACCGAAGAGCAGAAAGCAACCGGGTTAATTGGTGTCAAAAAACGCTTGCCCGTTACTATTCCGGAAACACAAAAAATGTGTACAGCATTGTTAGTGGTGATGAATCGTGGATTTACTGTTCTGGATCAGAAAATAACGACAGTCGACTGTTTGGGTGTTCCAAGGTAAAGAAAAGCCAACAAAAGGCATCCGTTCTCGAAGTGTTTCGAAAAAGATCGTCGCGACGTTTGCGTCTAAAGCGGGTCATATTGCAACAATTCCTCTTAATGAGCAAAGAACTGTTACTGCGGACTAGTATACCACCATTTTTTTGCCAAAAGTTATCACCGAGATTCGAAAAATCAACTCCGAAAGAAGAATCATCCTCCACCAAGACAATGAAAGCTCGCACACAGCCCAAAAAACAAGGCAGTATTTAACAGAAGAAAACGTGGAATTATTGGACCATCCCCATATAGCCCCGATCTGAGTACTAACGATTTCTTTACTTTCCCGAAAATTAAAAACAGACTGCGTGGTCAAAGGTTCCAGTCACCAGAAGAAGCAGTTGACGCATTCAAAAATGCCGTTTTGGATATGCCAGCAAACGAGTGGAATAAGTGCTTCGAAAATTGGTTCGAGCGCATGCTAACGTGTATTAATCTTCGTGGAGAATACTTCGAAAAACAATAAAGTCATTTAAAACTACCTACCGTGTTGTTTTATTTCCATATGCAAAACTTAAAAGACATCCCTCGTACCACAGCCTTTTTTTTTACTCCAACTCCTACCGTGGGGCTATAGGGGGATACATGGAGAAGGGGGGGGACGCCACACGGACTCTGGCGAGGGAACACGTGTGCATGCAACATGCACACATTCTGGCTCCGCCTTCGAGAACCGCCGGGTGGTACCTCCGCATTCGACAGTCAGAGACCATCTACCACCTTGGAACTTACTCCACAGCTTCATGTTGCTAATGCACCGTTAGAAGACTCTTCTCATCATACGGTTTAGTCTATTCAAAACTACGTAATCGGCTAAGCAATGTCAAAGCTGCTGAGTTGTTATCAATTTTTATAGAGCTTAATTCCAACAATGATGACGTGACTGATGAGATATCAGATTGATGAGTTAGATGACTATGAGACTGAAACAGTGTGGGGAATTTGTTAACACTTGTATGCAAAATGCTTAATTTTTTCAATTTTTGTTGTGTTCCTATTATTAGTAATTAAATAATATTTATGTTAAAAAAATTGTATAATATATTTGAGAAGATTTCCTATTTTTATTTATTATACTAATAAAGAAAATGAAAAAAAACGCTTGTTTAATTTAAGTGTTTTAAACATGTTTTAAACTGTTTTAAACAAAAACTGTTTTAAACCTAAGCGAATGTTTAAAACATGTTTATAACAATTGATTAAAACAAAATGTTTAAAAGGAAACAACCCTGTTGTAAAAAACACAGGTTTGTAACTTTTTCCGTATTTGTAACATTCGGTCTTGGACTTCTACTATGCCCACATTTTCGTCGTTCATGCAAATGATTGCATGTGGTAAACAGAGCTTAACTGCACGAGATGGGATACAGTAGCGTCAAACCTACCTGTTCGCTATGATGATATTCTTGTTTTTTTTTTTAGATTCGCTTGGTTTACACACAATCCGCGGCACCTGTAGTGGATAACTGACCTACGGTTCCAACCCTTTGCTCGCAGCACGGCCGGGTTTTTTTATTGCCGATTTTTTTTTCGGAACAAACTATCAACTTTAAAGTATGATGCACATGCTACTAAAACATTGCTTATTTTTACAAGAATCGAATAAAGTGTAAAGGAAAGTTTTAATTAGAAGAACATCCTGTATATTCACACTTTCTGTGCGGTACAAGTCATCGAACTTATTTTTGTGCATCACCTCAATCATGTTGCTTCGCCAGAGCATCATTAATCTTTACGCAGAAGTAACGTGGTAGTGGTAGTTCACCACAATACATATGCAAAACATCAGATAACCCAGCCTAAATTATATTTGAATTAATTAGGGCATACGGCTTATTTACAGATGTTATTAGAGCATTATTACATAGCTCGGCTCTAATGCAGGTTAAATGATGATTTTGAACACTATGAGAGGATGGGGTGATAATGTTCTGCTTTGTTTCACCGTATTTGTTGGGAGAGGAAAGGGTGGTATATATATGTGACGTTTACATAAATTAATGAGGGAGAGCGGGAAAATGGAGTGACGAAGATTCAGTCTCACGCATGGATGCAAACTATGAGTATAGTCGTACAAGCCCTAACACAAAATAGTTCGGACATTATCTAATTTTATCTTAGTTTCTTTATTTTTTTTAGGTTACAAAATATTTTTTTCTATTATAAAGACATTGAAATATATTGTTATTGGATATCATATTAACAAGTATCCACACTTATTGCCAATATCTGCTATCATAGACATTGCAACATTTATTTGTTTAGCAATACCCCGAAAACTCTTTTATTGACGAAACAATTTTGTTGATTAAAACTCTGATTTGTCGCTTTAATCGCGCGACATTTTTAAGCAAATTGATTCACAAAATTGATTCTTAAATCAACCACGTCAAATTGTTAACCACTTTTTGGCCTGCTAATTAGTTTCTACTTAGCATCGTCTCCGAACAGTTTTTGTGTCAGCAAAATGTTGTTATCAATATCAGTTTGATATTTCAATATCATATTGAAAACTTGAAAACAGTTTTGTAAGTATGATGTGCAAACAATATTCAATTTTCTTATAAAAGAAAAACAGTTAATAATAATAATAGTATGAATTTATTCACGTATAAAGTATTACAATTTATTAAAAGTAGGTATATATATATGCAAATAAACTGAAATAATCCCACAGAAGGATTTAATTTGTGCGTGAGAAAACATTTTTGCTTTGAACATAGTTAAACATAGTTAATACATAAATTTAAACACAACATAACCATAAAGGTAAGTGTAATAAAACTATATTCAAAACCTAATTTATTTCTATTTGAGTGAGTTTTGATATTTCATGTTGATTATTATATTACAAGAATTTTTATTTTAATTCTGAATCCATTTTTATTTAAAATGCATTTCACATTGCTTGGTAAAAAGTTATAAAATCTAGTGGAGAGGTAACTGAAGCGTCTTTGAACTACATTTTTTTGTTGTAAATGGTGTTTTTTAATGTCCTCGACTTTAATTCTTGTTTCATACTTGTGGTCCAATGAAATGAGGTTTGATTTATTTTTGAATAAATTGATTATAACATTGTAAAAAAAGGGTTGCCTAAGATCGAGTACTCTCACTACGGAATATAACATATCAGATGGATATAGAATTGGCCGTTAAAAAATAATTTTCGAATATTGTGTTTGGATTATTTCTAGCTTCTTAATTTGGTTGGTAAGAGCACCATCTCAAGCTAGTATGGCATAATTTAGGCGACATTCAATAAGTGCATGATATATAACATCTTCATTGTTTCATGGTCTAGATATTTGGTGAGGTACTTGAATTTAAATAATAGTTATGAAGGGACAAAATCGGCTGCGAAACAGCTACAAGGCAGCTACAAAACAAAGCTGGAGGAATGTGAATGGTGGTTCTCCGCAATGCCTTTCCACGCTGGAGGTTGCAATTCTATTAGAAAATGGACGAGTAGTACCTAAACCAAAACAACTAAACGTAAGGTACAAAAAAAGGGTACTACTTCCATAAACTGGTGTTTGGGGCGTAAATATCCCAAAATCTGGAAGTCAACGAAAAAACGCCCACACCACAACTGAAATCACAGCGGAAAAGCATTGCGGAGAACCACCATTCACACTCCTGAAGCTTTGTTTGTTGGGAGCCATCCCTTCCACTTTATGGAAGACACTGTGCTGTCCCAGGAATTATTTTTAGAATAAAGTGTTGCTGTGTCATCTGCAAAACAAATTATTGTACCTTGCCACTCCAAGCTAAGTAGTCTATTGATATACACAGTAAATAATAACGGCCCTAGAACTGTCCCTTGTGGTACACCATAAGTCACAGTTTTTTCTTAACTTATGGAATCATTTCTTTGAACAAATTGCTTTCTGGAGAACAGGTAACTTCTTATAAGGTTTTGAGCGTTTTCTCTATTTTCTGCATGGTATAAAGTTTCCAATAGTTGCGAGTGATCCACCGTATCGAACGCTTTTGCCAGGTGTAAGAATATGCATAATGTATATTTACTTCGCTATAATAATTTATGAATTTTTGAAGTCAAGAAAGAAACCGAGTGGATTTATTTTTCTGAAATCAAAATTGATTTTCATGTATAAGCGTATTTTGTTGGAAAAACTAATGAGGCCAGCATTTATGATTTTTTCACCTATCTTTGCCAAATTAGATATAATGTTATTGGTCTATAGTTGCTGGTATTAGATATGTCGCCAGATTTATGAGTCGGAGTAATTACTCCTATTTTGTAAGGGTCTGGGAAAACTCCAGATTCAATTATTAAATTTGTTAAAAATGTTAGTGGTTTTCTATCTTCAGGTGCAATTTTTTTGAGTACCTCTGACCGTATGCCATCTAAACCTGGACTATTTTTATTTTTTTTTTTTTTT